AAGGGACTGACTATGCTCACCAGAACAAATACATTAAGCTGTTGTTCTGGTGACTATAGTGTAATTTTAACCATACTAAACGTGCTACCTGTGTTTGTATAGGGGAAAGCTGGGGGAAGCAATCACACAACTGTAATTTCTTCTAGTGTATATTATAAATAATGCAGTGAGGTTTAATCTTATAGGTCAACTAAGAGTTTTGATTATGTTCTAACCATAATCTAATTAGACCAGTGAGAAGTGTGTTGTAATATTTAAGATGGGAGATAAAAGCATGTACATGCATTTAGTTGCAACAGTTAGAAAGGGGTGGATACAATATTTTTATGATTGAGGGAGGAGGAGGTCTGAGCCAAAGAGATATCTTGCAGGGTACAACTAATTATAGTAAATTTCACATGTAGGGATTGGATAGATGATATATCCTTCATAACTAACTAGGTTGTATAACACCTCCCTATTGCCACAAGCCATAACTGATATCCTGGTGAATCGTATCTCGGTTGGAATATGGGGTGTTTAACCACTACTATATGCACAGATGAACATGCAGGCTTTAAATCTTGGTACATACAAAGAGAGGTGTATTCACTCACAAAACAATTATATCCTCCCCAAAAGAGTACAGGTTATGTTTTACAAAGAAGGACATAACTAACATCTAACACATTGCTTGCTGTACAATTAAAACGTTTTATTTGACTTCTAGCCATATAAACATAGGTAGATGTCAGCCATGATGGTTTTCTCACACTGGGAGGATATGATGCCACAGTCAAAAGGGGCAGTTTAACCAATAGGACCTTATGGCTTTAAACTGTGTACTTTGTATTCCCCACAGCAAGTAGGCATAAAACCTAGGTTATCTACACTCAGTGATTTTTCAGCTGGTCAGGCATTTTAAAATTATCTGCAGAGAGTATTTCTATTGGCTCTGCTCCCTTCTTTTAGATATTTCACGTTCTTATTATTTACTAAAGTGGGAACTGGCATGAATTCAAAATGGACTCCAAGTGGTTTACAGATTTTAGACCAATATAGCCAAACAGGAAGCATAGCTGACTTGGATAGTTTCCCAAATTATATATTTTTGCGAGTGAATGTGTGTGTGTGTATCTTCATTTTTTTTGATTGGGTTTTCGCATTGATTAAGGTGTTTTCACCTGTTGTTAATTTCTTGTGTGAGTTTTAAATGTGATGGTTTTAAGATAATATAAAACTTGTTTTAATGTTTGGTTTCGGCTCTGTAACAGTAAATAGAGGGCAGAAACCATACTGTATATGATAAAAGTATGTAAAAGGTCTCCTCTGTAAAAGGATATTGTTCTCAGTTGTCATTTCCCCATTGTGTACATCACAAAAACTGCACTCCCAAAAGTAAGTAATCAAATCATTTTAAAAAGCTTTGACTTCTTACCTGGCTTTAAATAGTTGAACACTATTTCCCACCACCTCTAAAACCTTCAAAGAGTCGGAAGCTCTCTGTCTGAGCTAAGCCCAGTCATGCAGGGATTAGCTCATCAAGAGAGCTAACGGAAGTTCCTATGGCTTTAGTGGAGGTGGGGAGCTGCACCCTCCAGACCCCAGGTAAGAGGTTAAATCATTCTGAAACAGTTTGACTACTTACTATGAAAGGTAACAGGACACTTTTGGCACCATAAACAATACTGGATTATGTTGTAGATATGGTGCTACTAGGAGGGTCCCTTTAATTTCAGGGCAAGATGAGGAGGGTTGAACTTTGGGACTTTCATCTTGCACAGTCCAAACAGTAAAAAATATGATGGGGGTGAGTGTATTTGTATTAACAATCATTTATCCCATCCTGTTACAAATCAGGCAATGCTATTTTTTTACAAGCTCCAATCCATTAGCAACAAAATAGATGGCAGCTAGATCAGTTATTTTGCAAAAGGCAATATCTGTCTAACCTTGGATGGCAGCGCTCTCAGCCCATCATTGTCATCCAATGTTAGACAGAAATTTAAGGAAAACTGTTGACAATTCCAGATGTTGAATTGCATAAAAGGAAAAACCAAAGTATTATAAAAAGATAATGAAAAGTCAGTTAAGTCATTTTTGTTTGTTTATTTTCCAACTTGCAGCTCAGTTACCACATTCATCATAACGGCAAAATTCTTCAAGACCTACATGGAAGAGTCAAGCCGTTCAAAGAAGAAAAAGCTTTGGAAAATGGATTTTGCTTTCCAATATTATTAATAGAGCAAGCACTGAAACAGGGACCACTCAAAGCTCGATAATATCCTTAACATTCCCACTAATTATCCTGAAGACTGGATTTAGATCATTAACAGAGATTGTGCCATATATTTGGTTGGGACAGTATCCATTTCAACACGGAAAATACTGATTGGCGCCTCACTTGCTCAGTATCTATGCAATACGTGTCTTTTAAAGTACGGTGTATATTCAGATAGGATCAAGATTCTGTATTCACTTTATTTTATATTACTAAAACCCAAATGACATTATAGAAAAATAATAATAATACAGGTATATAGTGCAATTCATATTCATCGGAATATACTTTTAAAAAGCTTTTTAAAACATTGTATTTTTCTACAAGATGTGTTTCTGATTGTTTTGTGTGTACTACAGATTTTTAATGCCAAAGAATACTATAATATTCATTCCGTAGAATCAACTAGTCAGTTAAAGAGAATTTACCATGTGAAGATTTTTAAGGTTTTGGGGGTTTTGGGAGGGGGGAGAAGTCATATGTTCTTATATCCGTATTTTTTTAGGTACCATTTTTTTTTATTAGTATAATATGCAAATGTTGCCATTTTTCATAGTGACCAGTTTTCGAAAAGGAAAAACTATTTCAGATGAACATTTTACGTCTTGTGCCTTATTGGAACAGAGATTGTATATCCCAGGAGACATCTTCATATTGTTACCAAGGAGAGAGCCAGCAGGGCTGCCAATTGACCTGACCGTTCCCCCTGAACATGAGTCCTTATGGAGACTGCCAGTAAAAATCATTTATTGGTAGCAGCGGTCTCATAGATTTCAGTGGATTCTTGGCATCTAAAATACATGTTGTTCCATTTTACCCTTCAATGTTCAGTTTGAATACTTGGATGTTGACAATTATGCTGCAGACTGACATTTATTTTTTAATAATGCCAGTAAATATTATATTGAAATAAAACAGTTTTCCTTTGTTTATTTTTCTATTTCCTTTTTTCTTTTAACTGTGTGTGCGGTTTCTTTATAGGTCTCATCAGATGGCTTTAATTATTGCACAACATTTTTTGTGTCTTGTTTGTTTTTTTATTTCTCTTTGATTTCTTTTTATGAAAATACCATAAAATGAAAATTATTTAAAGGGGCATTATTGTGACAAAAAAGTCATGTCATGTATATGGGTGTATACAAAAATAAATTAGAAATAATGTCCTCCCCAATAAACTCCACAAAATGTTTGTTAGATAAACGTTTAACTCCCAAGTTGGAGTAAACTTGGAATTAATAATAACATTAATAACTAAAAATAATAACTTTAAATAAGTGTAAAGTCAGAGTCCACACTCCTTGCTTTCAGCAATTCAATAATATTTATTCATAGAGGCTAATCAAACAAATAAACAATACATATACATTTGAAATAGGCTAGTATATGTTGCTACTAAAACTAATCATTGACTGAATGGAAAGTAGGCTAAATTAACATAGTAAAACAGGCATAGACACATGATACAGTTGCCACTCCATTGATCGTCAGCTGAGAGTAAGAGAGGGGAGAGGAAATAGGGAATAGGGAGAGAGTGGGGAGAGTGAATTCAAAGAGACAGAAAATGTGCTATTTACAGGGCTTTCAACAGGTTAGCCCCTCCTTCTACTGGACACACCTCCCTTAGTCAATCCCTTAGGATGTAACAGAACCAGAGTGCCTCCTGAAGGAAGGGGGATTGCATTGGAAGGGAATTGAGGAGGAGTTTATCAACAGCCCAACTGGTTTTGCCTGGTGAAAGGCCATTGCTTCACAGAGGACTCCATTATTGCCTAAGGGTAGAATGGGGGCTTGAATCCCTGTATTAGAACACAATAACACTTCATTGGCATACAGTTTGGCTGTTAATCACTTCCCCCACTTATTACAGATGCATCTTCAAATTTATCAATCCACATGTATCTTGTCACCAAAAATTTGGTTTTGCTATCTCTGCATATATAACTTCACTTGACTGATGACACTCTAAACATAAGTATCAGCATGTTTCTGGCATATTTCTTTCACCCTTCAAACATACAACCGCAACACCGATTCTGAAAAAGCCCAACCCTGACCCTAACTCTCAATCAAACTACAGCCCTATCTCACTTCTGCCATTTACTTGCAAGACCCTTAAGAAGATTGACTGACTTCCTTGAATCCGATTCTCTGCTTGACCTGCTTCAGTATGGATTCCACGCTCATCTCTCTGTTGAAACAGCTCTGACCAAAGTATCCAATGATTTAATTGCTGCAAAATATTGTCACTATTTTATCCTAATTCTCCTTGACCTTTCTGCTGCTTTTGACATGGTTGATCATCAACAGCTTTTTCTCCTCCTCTGGAATATCAGTCTGTGAAATACTGCTCTCTCCTGGTGCTCTCCTACCTCTCCCAGCGCTTTTTCAGTGTTTCTTTCTCTAGCTCTGCCTCTTCTCCCCAACCCCTCTCTGTTAGTGTTCTCCAAGGTTCTGTCCTGTTCACAATCTATACTGCCGCTCCTGGTAAATTCATCAGTTCCTTTGACTACCAATATAATAATATAATTTGGCATGCAAATCTGTCTGTCCTCTACAAATCTCTTGCCATCCCTCTTAACTCAGGTCTCTCATGGCCTCTCTGCTATTTCTAACTAGATGGATGCTCACTTCCTTAAATTCAACCTATCCAAAACAGAACTTCTTGTCTTTCCTCCCTCAAGTGTTGCTACGTCCGTGTTTGTCTTCCTTCAAATCAAAAGCGCCACCATCATCTCTACCAAGAAGGCTCACTGCCTCTCCTTCACCCTTCATGTCCAGTTGATTGCCAAATCCTGCCGTTTCCATCTCAAAAACTTAGCACACATCCGCCCCTACTTAACGCTGGATATGGCTAAGGTGCTGGTCCATGCTGCTTATCCTCTCTCGCCTTGACTTCTGCAATAAACTTCTTAGTTGTCTTACATGTACCGAACTTGCCCCTGTTACAGTCTGTAATGAATGCAGTGGCGAGGCTCATCTTCCTGTCTGTCTGCACCCCCTATGCTTCCTCCCTTTGTCAGTCCCTATATTGGCTTCCTGTAAAATATAGGGATTAATTTAAAATTCTGGTATTTGCCTACAAATCTCTATGTAATGTACCTATCCTCCCTAATTTCCTAATAACTGTCTGTCCCATATGCCTTGTCTAGGTCCCTATGCTCTATTGAAGACCTACTCATATCCTCTTTTCTTACTCTCACCTCTGATGTTTACCTTCAAGACTTCTCTAGGGATGCACCGTTCCTGTGGAACTCCCTTTCCTTTTCCATTAGACTTTAACCCAGTCTTCATTACTTCAAAAAATCATTGGAAACTCACTTCTTCAGTAAAGCATATCAATTAAACTGTTACTAGCTTTCCCTCCCTGCAGCCTGATCCCATTCCTGCTACTGTCGTAAAAAAATGAAATAATACATTTAAAAAAATACAAAACACTAAGCCTTCAGTGAACACTATTCTAGCAACCTACCTTTTGTGTCACTTTACCCCACTCCCTCTAGCATGTAAGCTTATTGAACAGGGCCCTCAACCCCCTCTGTTCCTGTGCATCCAACTTGTCTGGTTACAAATACATGTCTGTTAGTCCATTTATTGCTTATTCATTCATTGTTAGTCCAGCGCTGCGGAATCTGTTGGTGTTTTATAAATAATAATAATAACATGTAGTCACTGTTGCTATATATATATTTGCTTTCAAAATCTCCCTTTAACGCTTGAAATCATGCTGACCAAACAATTCCTGTTTCTGCCAATTGCAATTCAATAAAAAATAATGTTGAAATCTAGAATATTTAAAGGGATGCTGCAAGTGCCTGGATAACTTGAAACACACCTTAAAGCTTATAAGAGGTTTTTCATTAAAGTGTCAATTTTTGACAGTTCAAAGTGAATTTCAGAATTTAAGTCTCAATAGCTATAATTGCATGTTCTTTCCTCTATCATTTCAGCCATACAGGCAGAGGCATAACGAGAAGTCACAGGGCCCAGGTGCGAAAATTGCCCCCATCCTATACATCTTCCCTCCCCCTTTCTGCCCCTCCATTTGTATACTATTTTACATACAGATACATACACTGACACACAGAATTACACATATTCAGATACACAGAATGACAATTCTACAGATACATGAGAAAACAAGGGGATGGCTGCACTAACCTGAACATGCATAAATAGGCTGCTGCTGGGAGCCAATAAGTACAATAAAAATGAAAATCCAGCGCACTCCCTTATCTACTAAACAGCAACTTTGGTGCTGACAAATGTTAGTTTTTGAAAAACACCTAATCTAGCCAAATAATAATGGGGGTTTAGTTACATTATATTATTTAGTTACACAAGCAAACCATATGAACCTTATATATATATATAAGATATATATACATATCGTTATAAATATATATTATTTATAAAAAAAAGATTAAAATAATCACAATATATATACATAAATATCACCCCTATATTATAGAATAGAATATCATGTGTGCCATAATTATATTAATAATATAAATGTGTAAATAGCATATATAAATTATTATGAGTGTGGGAGAAAAAAGTGTCACTGTACAAATAAGGTGCATGTGTAATGTATGCAGTGTACACTAACCAAAGTGCATATGTAAAGTGTCACAATGTGACTTAATAAATAAGTAAGGAAATAAAATGATATAGATAAAATAAAGTGCCTGTACTTTGTATTGGGTGACTGAATTTGATAATTAAACAATCTAGTGTATACTTATCAAAGTGCCATAATAGGACTATAAAGTGCATATGGTGCAATATAATTATGAAAGTTAAATTATCATTATATAAAAATACTTATAATGCAACAAAAGAAACAATATAATGTGTCCAAATCAGAGTGGTCCCACAAAAGTCCAGAATTCCATGCTTAGCTATGAAAGGATTAGGGTTTATACAAGAACCAGCACCAAATTTCTACCAGGAGTCCTGTAAAAATTTAATATAAGAGTGAAAATTAAAAGTTAGCTACATGTAGCCAAACAATGGTAAAAATAACAATACAAGCAACCATTACTTAAATTAACATAGATAAATCGTATTAATAGTTTAAACCTTTAGGATGTAATGTGTCAAGTTCACGAATCCAGTAAGCCTCACGTAATAGTACTCTCTAAGTTCGGTCACCTCTCCTGGGCAATTCCATAATTTGTTCTAAAATCTGAACCTTCATTGAGAGACATTATGTCTAGCTTCCAAAAAGTGAGCAGGAAGAGGTAAGTCAATCAATCCAGTACGGATTGTCGACTTATGTTTAGAAAACCTAATTTTAAACTTTTGGCTAGTCTGGCCCACGTACAAGAGACCACAAGGGCACTTCAGTGCATAAACCACAAAGTCAGAATTGCATGTCAGAAATTATCTAATAGAATATTTCTTGCCACTTTGTGGCAAGAGATGCAATTGTAACCCGGAAAATTGTCGCTCTATGATACGAGGTGATGTTATACATCACCCAGTATCACACAGTTTTTTGTGATCTATTGGTATTTCATGTACCTAGTTTTGACTATACGCATGCGCATATTGATCTCTTTTCGGCAGATTGTCTGGATACGCATGTGCAAGATAATTGGAGGTTCGTATGACTTGTCCGTGCTTTAGTGCGCATGTGCGTACGAACATCTAGTGCCGTTCGTACGTAAGATTGTACGAACATTTTTTCCTCTTTTAATGATTAGACTTTTTTAGACTGCACTTGCACCGTTCCTATGAGTTCCAGAGTGCAGGAAATGCTCTCTTGCGTTCCACTTAACCGTAAAGTTATTCTTTGGTGCTTCGGTAAGCGTTCTTTTTTTACTCTTTTCTTTTTTAACTCTTAATTTTATCTCATTAGATCTTTATATTATATTATTTCGTCTCTCCCTCCTCTGACACACAGAGGTAAGTCATGGATTGTTGCATTTATAGATTTTTTGTGTAATTTGTATGATTTGTGTTAATTACTTTTGTTAATATTTACTTAAGTGAATTATTGGTTGTCCTTTTTATGCACTGTTTGCTATATATACACTCATGTTTGCTTTGTGGTGTTAGCTTGACAAAGATCTCATAGTAGGTCAAAACATTGCTGTTCTTTTTGTTTAATTAAAACTGCCCGCGACTTTAACATGTTGAGTGCCTGGAGAATTTCTTTCACTGCCTTATCATTGTGGTATTGCTGGTCCTATTTTTATTTATTTATTATTTATTTTTTTATTAAAAAAAATTCTCTTTTTTTTTAAATTTCATATTTTTTATTTTTTTATTCAGTGCGGGTAGTTACAACCAAGTTTGTGATGCCACAACAGCATCAGCAGACAATCATTGTCATATATATTGGTACATCGGCATGGCATGGAAATATGTTGCACTATTTTTTAAGAAAATTAAGTAATGTAGAACAAAGTAAAGTATATTAGGCATAAGCTTTCACTGAGTGATGTAAACTGTTTGATTATACAGGTAGTTATTAGGGATATGCATGGGGAAAATATTCAGTTTGGTTCGGCATTCCGAAATTGGGAACTTCGGCACTTCAGGACTTAGGGTTAGGGGTAGGGTTAGGGGTAGAGGTAGGCTAGGGGGAGGGTTAGGTTAAGGTTAGGTGTAGGGTTAGGGTAGGGTTTGGTGTAGGGTTAGGGTTACCCTACCCTAACCCTACTCCAACCACTAACCCTTCCCCAACCCGTAACACTACCCCAACCCTTAACCCTACCCCTAAACCGAACCTTATCCCTACCCTTACCCTACTCCAACCACTAACCCTTCCCCAACCCCTATCCCTAACTCTACCTCAACCCTACCCCTAAACCTAACCTTAACCCTACCCCTAACCCTACTTCTTCCCTAACCACTAACCCTACCCTAACCCTCTCCTGTTTTGCCACTTTTCAGAAATCCAAAGCACTTCGGCTCTTCCGAAATTCGACAATTCAGCACTTTGGACATTTCCGAAATTTGTCCGAATTTGCATTCGGAATGAAACGAATTGCACATGTCTAGTAGTTATGTCGATAAGAAGATTTACTGAGTAGACATGCCTCACTGCACAAATTCTGTCTAGCATATACATGTCTATGGACTACACTTGAGATTAAAACAAGCTAAGACTTAGACAATCCAGGCTTTTTTTTTGTTTCAGGTGATAATATGTTATGCTAGGCGTTGTGGATCAGAGGGTTGTTTCACTGCAGCATCATTGGGAATTAATTGCCATCGATGTGTAGAAGTCAAAATAATAAAGCTGTAGGAACCAAACTGAGCTAATATTTTCCCGTGCAGATTTATGCTTAAGTCAGAGAAAGCCCTCTAATCATGACAGAGTAAGGTGATGTATGCAATTAAACAAGGCATATCCTAAGCATAAGTAACAAGAAGATTATATGATATGAGTATTTGTTCGATTGGAGAAACATCTTATTGTGATTAAGAAAATATGCTTAGTAACTATGAGGGATATCAGGAGAACAGAGAGTGACTGAGAAACATTGCATGATAGGGCTGCAGTTAAGCTCAAGAGGTAGTGGTACCCTCTTAGTTCAGCAAGTATTGTTCGATCAGCCCACGCCTGTAAGGGCTAAGCTGGGTCTTGACAGGAGCTTCGATTTTGTGGTATGCTTGTTCCGCTGCAAATCTGGTGCCACCATCTGTAAAGCTTGGTATCTGGGTCCAGGGTGCTGTTGGTGGACATAAGGTGCGGGCATCCAAGCGCGCCCCTCTAGCTACTTTGTGGGACAGTCATCCGATTCCTCTATGGGGGTCATGTTGTAGACATTGGCTCAGTCCACTTTGGGGAGCAGTGTAGTGGTGTGAAGGCAGGGTGCCCCTCCTGCCCCGGGGTTGTGGGAGAGCTGGTACCTTTTTGCCACAAGCCTGGAGTCCTTTGGGGACCAGGGTCTTCCCGTTCGGGACGGGAGGGTGGGCGTTGCATGCTGGCGGTCTCGGCTGTCATGTGCGCTTTGGGGCCCTTTGTGTGTGTGGCTGGTACTTGCGGGTTGGGACCCTATGTGCTCTCAGCTCAGGTCGGCAGCATTTGTTTGTGGTGGATGCGTGGGATAACATTCAGCCCTTAGGAGGTTTCCCCGGCCACATTTTGTTGCTTTCCCGTTCTCCCGTTGTTGACTGAGCAGCATGGCCCAGAATCTGTCGAATATGGCTTCAAGAATGTCTGTTACTTTGGTACTAGGGCCTGCTGAGTCAGGCTTTAGCAGTTTCAGACCATGTGTTGTTGAGCCTGGTATATCCGCCATCTTGGATGCCTCCGCTCCCGTACAGCTTGGGAGTTTTGCAGGGCCCACTGATGCATCTGAGAATATGGCAGCTCAGATCGTAGGGGACCGGGATAACACCCACCGGTCCATGGAGAGGAGGAGGGGGGGCCATTTGGGAGTCAGAAAGACTTTTAATGCAGGCCCAGTAGTTTGACCAGGCCGTTACTGGAGTACTGGCTGTCACCCCCTGATGGTGGCCCTGGATATATCCTAGAGGCAGGACTATATTATTCGTTAGGCAGAGTAGGCAATTTGCCTACAGGAGCCTTTCCTGTAAGAGGTGCTTATTTACAGCATTTATTATATGCCTTGTTGGAACTTGGGCTGGCAAGGGGATATAAGTAACAGGAGCTTTGGCAACTGTCTTCAGCCTCCTATGCTTGATGGCAGAGCTGCATGAACAATTACATAGTAATAGTAAAGCTCACTACTGTCCCCAGAGCCGGTGAAAGGATTTTTGGCTACATTGGCAAAGATGCATTTTGCCACCCGCCTGAAAAAAAATGCATATTCAACTGTGTCTCTCTAAATTTCCCTTCTGGATTTTGACCCCTTTTATATGTTTTACCCCCTTTAGTGTCTTTTATGCCCATTTCCCCCTTGTGTGTCGCTTACTTCCTCCTAGTCCTTTTGTGTGTCTCTGTGGCAAAACTAGCCACTTCTTGTGTAAAAAAACTAAGTTGGTTCGTCTATTTTGACTTCATGAACAAAACAGGGACATATCATTCGTGTAGTCGAACAAACTACCGAATGAGAGACCACATAGTGGAGTCGGGTGTCTCTAATTAAGAATTGGCAACATGTTGAAACTGCAAGAGCATAAGGGTCGGATGGGTGGTTACCATTCGTATGAACGAACACGTGGCGGTGGCCATCTTAGCGCACAAACGCCCAGTGGTGTTTGGTCGTCGAGTGCATGGAACTAAAACTGGACACTCGACCTCGCGAACACTGCTAGACTTCCATCTCGTTTGATCATGTACTTCCGTTCGTCTAAACAGAGCGGCGTTCGACTAAATGCAACCACTGACCGCCAGACACATGACCACCCAGTTTCTGAATATGTACATTCGTCTGTTTTACACATAGGAACTCCCGAAAGGAGACCGGTCAGGGCCTCCAATTGCCTGGAACTAATTTGGGACTTCACCTTGTGGCTGACCAGTCCAAAACTTCACTCAAATGGCTTTTCTATTCTACTGAACGGATCTGAGTGGTAATTCGACAGATTGAGTGCTGAGATCCCAGCTATTCAGTGAAGTGGAGTTCTGATAAATATTATAAGAGTTATGATGGTTTTAAAATATTGTTTAATGTTCTGTACTGGGAGATAATTTAATTCAAGCAGAGCTCTTACGCAATTACCCTCCCAGTACAGAAAGGGATCATGGGAAATGTAACTTTGTTCCCAGTCTTCCACAATGTCCACCAGGGGAAAACCCCTGGAATGTCATCAAGGAAACCCCTTGCATGGGGATGTGTATAAAACCAGCTGTGGTTCCATAAAAGTTCAGTTGACTCCCAAAACTGTATTTCGTCCAGTTGTTGGGGAATGGAATTGGAATTACTACGCTACCCTTTATTTGTATGCGGATTTCATCTACCAGCGGAGATATTGCCGTTTATACTTCCACTCCGCTACAGTCTCTTACTTTCCCCAGCCCCTTTTTGTGTCTTTTATTCTTCCCAGCTTATTTGTGTGTGTCTTTTTCTCCCCCAGCCCCTCTGTTTGTCTCTTTCCCCCACGCTCATTTGTGCATCTCTTTTTCTCCTTCTCCAGCCACTTGTGTGTCTCTTCCTCCCCAGCAACTTACCACTTTCTCACCCCAGCCCCAGTGTGTCACATTCCCCCCAGAACCTTGTCTCTTCCTCCCCAACAACTTATCTCTTTCAACCCCCAACCCCAGTGTGTGTCACATTCCCCCCAGCACCTTGCCCCTCTGTAGGTCTCTTACCCGTCCTATTTTGTGTGTCTCTTCCATTCATCCCATCATTTGTTGTTTTTTCTTTAACCCCCCATTGTGTTTTCACCCACTCGCTTTCCTCCTGTGGCTCCTTATCTCCCTCCTAAAGCACGGCTGGGTGGACCGCTGTAGAGGATCTTCAGTATCTTCTACCCAGTCTGACAAAAAGCTATCTGTTGCAATCAGCGAACAGCTTCCTGCCAGACCAGGTAAAGGATACAAACGATCCTCTACCACGGTCCACTCAGCTATGCTACATGGGGTGACTGGCACGAGGGGAGCACTGTGTGTTCATCTTTTGCTTGACAACCGGACATTGTACTCTCGGGCTGGTGAGCTTTAAGGCAGCCATGTGTGCTGCCTTATAGTTGTGCCAGCCCGGGCTGTTCCAGCTCCTCCAATGTCAGGAAGTTACCAACAGCCTCTCACATAAGAAGTGCCATGCAGGAAGAGTAGAGACAGCACTGGGTGATACACACTGTATAAAAGCTACTTCAGCATCACAATCAATCATCCCGCAAGCCATATAGAATATCCTGACATATTATGTGTGTGATTTCCAGGATAATATATACGACTTGCGGCCAGCCGATGATACTGGCTAAACAGGCACCCGAGAGAGCCACTCGGGAGGAATGGAGAGAGGAGGAGTCTGGAAACACCACCACTGGAAGCATGGAGAGGCTGGAGTGAGCTCCTGCATGGTAACTCCCATTAGTCTCAGTCACAGCCAAAAGGTGAGAGTGTGCTGACACTGGATTGATTAGTCACTCGCCAAGTGACACCAATTCCTATAATATTAATGCAGTAGTGGAATATCAGTAATGCCATAGGAGCATGAATAACATACACATCACTTGTGAGAGTAGATGTACATAAAAATAATGAAGTAATTTTATATAGATTGATTTTATATAATGGTGGAGCATATTGCAATCTGTGCCATCTCTCGTTTGAATTAAATTTTCTAAACTAAATAGGTATTGAGCTAATTTGTCCATGCAGTTGTGTTGTGTAATAGAAGTGTGTTTTGTTCTACAGATAATATAGATACTGCTACACCTATGTGAAGGCAGGGAGAGATCCAGAATCTAATCTCAGGAAGGGCACTGGTAGTGTGCTGTAGTGGGGAGATAGGAGCTGTAGTGGAATGATGGAGCTGTAGTGGAATGATGGGGCTGTAGTGGAATGATGGGGCTGTAGTGGAATAATGGGGCTGTAGTGTGGGGGGATATAGATATATGCCCTAGTAATAGGGCATAGGGGCTGTAGTGGGCCAAATGGGGGCTGTAATTGTGGAGTTGGGGACTGTATCAGGGGGCTAGGGGCTATAGTGGGGAGTTAATGGCTGTACTGGGGACACAGGAGCTGTAGTGTGTCAACAGGGACTATTTTGGGGAGTAGGGACTGTAGTAGGAGGGTTAAGGGCTATAATGGGTTTTATGGTCTGTAATTGGGGATGTTAGGGGCTGTGGTTGGGGGTTAGTAGCTGTAATGGGTGTAAGGACTTTAGTTGGGTGTAGAGGCTTTAGTGAGTAGGGACTGTAGTGGAGAGTAGTAAAGTGATAGGGATGGTAAGGTGGGTATGGGGTATAAAAGAGGGGTTATGGTCTGTAGTAGGAGATTAAGGCTGCAAGGGGGGGGCATAGAGGCTGCAAGTCAATACAAATGTAGCTTAATTACGTAATATTAGTGTATAGCGCATGCCTCTCAAGTCACACTGCTCAATTCTCTGCCATTTAGGAATTAAATCATTTGGTTTCTGGGATGTAGCCAAGACCTTGAGCTGAGCGGACGCATGCCGTGTAAGCTCCTGCTTGCCTTGGAGATTTTTGGGGGATCCCCCCTCAACCAGCACCGTTCCCACAAACGCCATACCTTACCTTGGTTGGGTGTAATGTGCTGATTCCACAGACCCCTTCTTTGACCTCACGGGTGATCGGGGGGCTATGGTAGTGCATTGAGGCCTACAGGCAATAGAGCTGGGGGAAGGCACATGATCTTCCTGCTCTACAGTTACTGTACAGATCAGCCCCACACCCAGCCTCCTCCCCCTTTGGACCGGTGGGGGTTATCCCAGTCCCCACTGGACTGTCTTTTTTGTTTAATCCTCTGGGTACAGAGGATATTGTACATACCTGTACACGAGAGCAGAACTCAAAATGGAGTACAGGCCTACTCTGACAGCGCCAACTCTAAAACAGACACATGGATACTCCACCATGAGCCTCATGACAAGACTGTAAGCAACTTTCACCACATTCTGGGCTATGCTGGAGGAACGATCTGCAGCTTCACCTCTTTTACACAAGAAAGTGAGCAGGCAAGACAAACCTCGAAGGTCAGGTGAGCACCCTCTGTGTATGGCATGCAGACAAGTTCCTGTTGCTCTCTCATATCCATCTGGGCTGAAGGCTACCCGGGGCTCGATTCCACCATGTTTACCATACCAGCAACAGTCAGATACCTGTCAGAACGGGTCCTCATACTGTAGCCTGATTGGGAAGGACTTGGTTTCTTCGCAATTTCAAGTCTGTGAACAAGACATTTGTGCCCTTGAACATGCCTCGGGCTGGAGGAATATCCTCCCTCATCAGAGTCACACCGAACACCCCAGCAGACCTGCTGAATGCCTAATGTACCCACCGTGTGTTAGAATCGGTTGAAATCTTCACCTATGAGGTTGGATGGTCTATCTGTAATGAGAGGGGTTCCTGAAATATCAGAATTAGCCATTCTGTATTGTTCTTTTTTTGTTGACCTTTTGTCTCTTATTTTATTTAAATTCTTATCAATGCCTGTCTCACACTCATCCTGTTTAGAGTGCCAATCCAATCTCGATTACAGTACCAGTGGTCACTATTTTTCTATTTATGCAGCCCTAGCCACACCTCCCGTGGCTGTGACTGATACAGTCTGCATTAAAATAAAATGTTTTCACTTTCAAATGTAAATTAATTTTAAAGTTTTTATCTCCTGCTCTGTAAAATGAACTTTAATTACATACAGTAGACTCCTGGAGGGTCTAGCAATCTATTAACAGAGCAGGAGATAATACATTCTCAAATAAACAATATTTGCAATAAAGGAAGTATAAACATTAGATAACACTTTACAGGAAATGTTTAGAAAGGCTGTGTAAGTCACATGCAGGGAGCTGTAGCTAGGGTTACAAAGCGATTTAACTCCTAAATGGCATAGACTTGAGCAATGAGACTGCAGGGGCATGATGTATACACCAAAACTGCTTCATTAAGCTAAAGTTGTGTTGGTGACTATAGTGTCCGTTTAAGCTAAAGTTGTTTATGCATTTAGAGTATCCACTGGAATTTACTGATGGACAGACAGACAGACAGACTGATAGCATGTACCTGACCATGTGCACATCCTAAGAGTGCTGCTGGAATGCAGAGATGCAATATACAACATAGATTGTATGCCAGAACACCATGATTCTGCATTCCTCCCTTCCCTTTCTTTTGTCTGATGGATAGGTTGCATAAAATATTGAGAACGCTCCTAGTGCCCCCTCACTGTATATCCAGATTGATGAGAGAGTAAAATGTTGTCAAGCAGGGAAGGAATTTCCAGTTTAAGCAGGTAATGAATTTCCAGTTTGAGATTATCTAAAATTGCATATGCTTTTGGATGCCTATAGGTTTTTCAAGAGCTATTTTAGTTAAGGTAGCTTTGCACTGTCAATGACATATTAGAAAATTTTGTGATATGAAGCACTGTTTAAGATTTTTTTTTTCCAGTGTTCACCCTTAGACCTACCTGAAGACTTCTCATTAGGACTGCTAATGTTGGGCTTTGTTTAATTGGTATAATAATTTTTTTTTTAAATAAGCTGATGAGGGGGCGGGACTTCCGGCTGACCGGAGCGGACGCATGTAGCGAGAGCTGCGACATGGAACGGCATATTGCGGTTAAACAAACCGGCTATACAGGTCCACCGGAGGTGGAAAATGTAGAAGCAGTGCCCCAAACACTTGTGCATACGATGGCTCCACCAAAAACACCAAGTGGCCAAGACTTATTTTCGACAAGGGAAGAAGGAGAAGGTGAGATTGCAGGGGAACTGTGGCCGCTGCCATTTTGTCCCACACATGTCAAAAACAGGTTCTGACTCTGAGCCACTGACCCTCCATGCTGAGGATATATCTGTGTCTGAACAAAGGCTAGTGGATAGACTGGCTGATCTGAGGACCACTTTGAAAGAGGACTTTAAGTCCATAATGGAAGATATCCGCAAAGATCTGCATGCGCTGGGCAACCGAACGGCGGCCTTATAGGAGAAGATGGGTGAATTATGCCTAGCAAATAACAAATTAGTGGGCAAGATTGGGATGTTGGAATTAAGCAACAGGCAATTCCAGGAGAAGCTGGCGGACCTGTAGGATAGCTCCCGCCACAATAATATACGCATGCCAGAGACGGTGCTAGCCAATGCCATCCCAAAATACTTAACAGACATGTTCAAGGCGATCCTGCCCTCTGCGGATGCAACAGACCTGCTCATGGATAGAGCACACGGTGCCAAAACCCAGAAACCTGGCACAAGATGTCCCAAGGGACATAGTCACACGCAGGGCCGGACTGGGGATACAAAGCAGCCCTGGAAAAAAAATCTATGCCAGCCCCATAAGTCATTGTGCTATGTAGGATATATATATATATATATATATATATATATATATATACACACACACACACAATTGAAATAGTTGGCTGCACTCTCGGATTTCCTGAAAATGTAACTTTTATTGAAATATTTAAGAGAAGATCAATGTTTCAGTCCCTCTTGTGGACTTTCGTCATGATCCTGATGCAAGTCCACAAGAGGGACTGAAAGGTTGATCTTCTCTTAAATATTTCAATAAAAGTAAAATTTTAAGGAAATCCGAGAGTGCAGCCAACTATTTCAATTGCCTATATATATACTGGGGCCCTGGTGATGCAATAGTGTGTGTATATTTAATATACCACACTATTGCATAATATACCATTTAATACAAGGTTATTACCGTTTTATTGATGATATTCTGATTGTTTGGAACGGCACCATAATGGAAGCACACAAGATGGTTGAAGATCTCAACAAGCTACAAGTACCTATAAAAATGACAGCAAACATTAGTATAGAAAAAATCCAATACTTGGATATTGAATTATCTGTAGGTACCAACAAATTGGAATATAGTTTGTTCACAAAAGATACGGACCGTAACACTCTCCTTCATGCACACAGTGCCCATCCTCAAGGTTTGAAGGATTCTCTTCCAAAAGCCCAATATCTGCGGGTGATGAGAAACAACTCCGATGAGAATGTTCAGGAGAGGCAATTGAGTGAAATGACCAATAAATTTTTGGAACGTGGGTACCAACGCTCCACCCTTGAGAAAGCATTAAGAGAGGCTAGAGCCCCTCGAGAACCTAAGGCGACAGCGACAGCACAAACAATGGTTTTTCCCACTACATTCCATCGGTCTACCAGTCAAGTGTCCTCGATCATTAGAAAGAACTGGAGAATATTGGCTGCAGATGACACTCTCCCTAAGGTCTTCTCGGAACAACCTTTAGTTTGTTTCAAGAGAAACAAAAATTTGAAAGATCTGCTGGTTCATACAGACCCCATCCTGAGTTATACAGATAACACTACGATACAATATAGAGGTAGTGTTCGCTGTCTGGGGTGTGTAACATGTGGACACATGACCCCTTCAAAGTTTTTCCAGCATCCTCATACTAACAAGAAATACATCATTAGAAGTACCATCACTTGTAAAACCACCCACGTGATATACAAACTCACTTGTCCGTGTGGGTTAGCATACATTGGAAAGACTGAGACGGCATTATGCGAAAGGATCAGGGGACATAGATCCAGTATTAAATTGGCCTATAGGGATGGTGTATCGGACAAACCGGTGGCGAAACATTTTCTGGATTTTAACCATCCGATGACCACACTAAAATTCATAGCGATTGACCATGTCCCAATATCAAGACGTGCTGGGGACAGGGGGAAATTGCTTTTAAACAGAGAGACATTTTGGATTTATGAGCTGGACACGGTGTTTCCTAAGGGTTTAAATGAGTGCATTTCCTTTCACTCGTTCTTATAGCTCCTTAGTGTAGTATTGAACTGCACCATTGGGATTAATGCATAAATTCATATATGTACAAATGTATATGTATTGACTTAACCAAAGTTTTGCCCCAGGTATTGGTTCTTTGATTTTAATATATAATGCTGGGTTATGTCGCCGGGGATACAACGACTATTTTCAATTTAGGTTCTTGATATTGGATAGCTGAAATTGCAGCATCCATAGTATATATATAGAGTTACATCTAAACACTTGTCCAAGTAAAAGTATCAGATAGGCGAGGTTGTCGAACAATCGCTTAATGATAACATTGTTGGAAGCCCTGACGGCATATTCCCAGTATTTTTATATATATTTGTTTATATGTTTTATGTGGATATGTATATATTGTCAGCTATAAGAGTATTTATGATACTGGATATGTACTTTGTTTACACATAGGGTTAAAATGAGAGAAGTGATTTTTTTACACTATATGTCACTTTATATTGCATCACTTAGCACTATTGCACTTTTTTTCACTATACTTGACATTGTTTATCATATTATATCTAGTCACTTTAATTAATATGGAAGGTACATATATATTCTGTCCAGTGCACTGTCACTTTAACTAAGTCCCAAATATGGGTGGTTCTGTATGTTGCAATAGACATTTTTCTAATGAGCACGATATACACTTTTACATGGTTGCATCAGTTATTCAGGTACACTGGCTATGCACTTATTAATATATGATATGGAATTTGTACACACATTCATTTAAATATGCCATATCTTAAAACACTATAACTGCACTGACAAGTATTAATCTAATATAGTGTATAGTTCACTTAGACATTGTACACCCACATTTCTACATTGTTTTTATATTTTTTTCACATGCTTTTTTGATCATATTAATGTTTCATCCCGAGTGAGCTCTCCCTTATTCAGTGCCGATGGAGTTGCTGTGTTTATCAGTATCACCATGGCAATGGTCATGGCGATCTGTTTGCCGGCATACGTCTAATAGCTGTGACGCTTTGTTGTTTAGCATCACTATGGCAATGACCTGGCCACGATCACGTCATGACGTCATGACGGGGGGCGGGGTCGGTTCGCACAGGCGCACTGAACGGATTGAGACGCCGATAGTATGGCGATTTTCACCTGGGGTAAGTTTACATCCTTAATAGATCTATGTATAAATGTCCTGTTTTGTGCATATATTGTTTTTCATCTTTTTATTGATCCTGAGGAAAGTCCTGGACGGACTGAAACGTTGATCATTGATGTTTTAATCCATTTCTAATAAATTTTGCTTTTTAATCACCGTGAGTGCAGCTATTCGTTGGATATTTTTTATATGGATGGCTATATTTAGCTAGCACCCGGGACACAAGGACATTTGGAGCGTGAGTGCAGGGGCTTCTTGTATTTTATATATATATATATATATATATATATATATATATATATATATATTTTATTGATACATTTCTTCTAATTCAAAATATTAGTTCTTTTAGGGTAATTAAATTATACAGTAAAGCATACTCACACACAGACAGACAATCTTACTGATGCACACAAATAGGCTCATTGACAGACAATGACACACACAGACAAGGTTACTGGCACACACACAACTTTAGTACAGACAAACTGATACACACACACAAGCTTACTATAGACAAGCTCACTGTCACACACACGCTCACTACAGACAAGCTCACTGATGCGCACACACTCTCCCTACAGACAAGCCCATTGACACACACGCTCCCTACAGAAGAGCTCACTAACACACAGATTCACTACAGACAAGCTCACTGACATACACATGCTCACTACAGACAAGCTCACTGACACACATATGGTCACTACAGACAAGCTCACGATCACACTCATGCTTACTACAGACAAGCTCACTGTACACACATGCTCACCACCGACAGGCTCCGACACACCCATGCTCCTTACAGACAAGCTCACTAACACACACACACACAATCCCTACAGACAAGCTCACTGACACATACAAGCTCACTTACTAGCAGGCACACACACACACAGAGGCTCCCTCACTAGCAGATGTGCGCACACACACACACACAGAGGCAGACAGTCACTGACACCCAGGCAGACAGCCACACACACCAGCAGACAGTCACTGACACCAAGGCAAACACCCACACATACAAAGACAGGCAGACAGCCACACACTCACACAGCACACAGACAGTCACACACTCACACAGACAGTCACACACACACACAGGCAGTCACACAGTCACAGTCACACACTCACAGGCAGTCAGTCACTCACACAGCAGTCACACACTCACACAGACAGTCACACACTCAACAGACAGTCACACACTCACAGGCAGTCACACGCTCACACAGAGACAGTCACACACTCACAGGCAGTCACACACAGACAGTCACACACACAGACAGACAGTCACACACAGACAGTCACACACTCACACAGACAGTCACACACAGACAGTCACACACAGTCACACACACAGACAGTCACACACTCACAGGCAGTCACACAGCCACACACTAGCACACAGAAGTCACAGATAGTCACACAGCCACACACACACACTCACAGACACACAGACATTCACACACAGACAGTCACACACACACAGACACAGTCACACACAGAGTCACACACACACAGACACAGTCACACACAGAGTCACACACACTCACAGGCAGTCACACAGTCACACACAGACAGTCACACACACACTCACAGACAGTCACACACACACTCACAGACAGTCACACACACACTCACAGACAGTCACACACACACAGTCACACACACGCAGTCACACACACGCAGTCACACACGCAGTCACACACGCAGTCACACAGACAGTCACACACGCAGTCACACAGACAGTCACACAGACAGTCACACAGACAGTCACACACACACACACACTCACAGACACACAGACATTCACACACAGACAGTCACACACACACAGACATTCACACACAGACAGTCACACACACACACACACACACACAGACAGTCAAACACACAGACAGTCACACACTCACAGGCAGTCACACACTCACAGGCAGTCACACAGACAGTCACACACACACAGTCACACACTCACAGACAGTCACACACTCACAGACAGTCACACACTCACACTGACCTGCTT